TGGGAACCACTGCTCTAGAATATCAAGTGGTTAATGCAACGACGACGGAACTTTAAGACGATAGGTTACCAATAACTAACAACGAAATTGTCTCCAAGTTGTATTACATTCGAACCAAAATAAACTTTCAGAGCTAATTCTTCGAAAATTATAGGAACAATTTGTAAATTAGGTTAGGATTGGTCTTACGTTGATGATAGCATGCAGATGACACAGACTCATAGTGGGCACAGACCTTGAGTGGGCACATCCTTGAGTGGGCACAGACCCTGAGTGGGCACAGACCCTGAGTGGGCACAAATCCTGAATAGGGGCACAGACCCTAAATAGGTACATACTCTGGATGGGCGCAGACCCTGAGTGGGCACGGACTCTGAGCGGTCACAGACCCTAATGGATGTGTTGACACTTGAAGCGGTGAAGACCAGTGCCAGACATTCGTTATGCTTATCTGTATGCTCTTGTTCCCAGCTGAGTATTACGATGTGTGTTGGTGCCACGGTGACTGGCTTATTATGCTGAAGGTACAGTGCTATTCTCTCTCTCTCTCTCTCTCTCTCTCTCTATATATATATATATATATATATATATATATATATATATATATATATATATATTTCATTAGCCCAATAAAGCACGCTGACTTCTACACATAATCAACACCTCACCCCGCCAGGATTCGAACCCACAGCCCACAAGCCCATGACTGTGACCGGGAAACGCTACCTCTGGACCACCAGGATACTAAAAGCAGTCCTAGACTCTGTTATATTTCACACAAAGCCTGTTCAACGAGCTTATGGCGCCGTGAACCTCTAATGGGGACTACCTATATCACGTAGGTGGTCAGAGTAACGTTTTACCAAATCCGGCTTCGAAACACGAGGATCCATATATATTTCATTAGCCCAATATATATATATATATATATATATATATATATATATATATATATATATATATATATATATATATATATATATATATATATATATATATATATATATATATATATATATATATATATATATATACACATATATATATATATACACATATATATATATACACATATATATACACATATATATATATACACATATATATATATATATACACACATATATATATATATATATATATATATATATATATATATATATATATATATATATATATATATATATATATATATATATATATATATCATCTTCATCTCTTTCTTGATCTCATTTTCACCCTCCCCCTTTGTCTCGCTTTTTTTCTCTTTACTTCTTTCACTTCCACCCTTTATTTCTACCATCTTATATGAGGTATGAGTGCTGAGGCCGATTAGATACAGCACTCACCTCCAGACCTAATGTTCGCTCCCTGTAAATGGGCCCTAATTTTGCAATTGGGATTTGGAGGTGGTCGAGTTCAGTACCGACAACATATTAATTAGTAAGTTGGATCCGGTTTTTTTTTGTAGAGAAAGAGAGGGTAAAAGAAGATCAGGGGTGGGGGAAGGAAGTTTATAGTTTGGAAATTGAAGAAATTTAGGAGGATGTAGGAGAGGGCGGGCTGACCGCCTTGCTATAGGTTAGCTAATAGTGTGACAGGGTTGTGTCATGGGTTAATTATTGTCCGTCGACACAGGCACTACCCACAACGTTGAGATAAGGAAGAAAATGAGGAAGATAGGAGGAAAGAAAGGTTAGATGGAGAGAGAGATAAAGAAAGGAGGGGAGGAGAGATGTGGAAAAGGGATGTGAAAATGGGCATGGAGAGAAATTGAGAAAAATGGAGGGGAAGGGAGAAATTGTATAGAGAGAGGAAGAGAGGAAAGGGGAGGAGAGGCAAGGAGAGGAGAGGCAGGGAAGAAGGTCAGATGGGTGATGCTGTGACAGATGGAAACATTTGTCTTCATTACCGAGGCTCCACTGTACCTTGGCTGGCAACCCCGAAACCTCCTCCTTCTAGGTTAACGATATCACTCACCCCCCCCACCACCTCCCCCACTCTATAAATTCTGACCATCATTTTCACGTTTACAGATATTCTCCCAAGTTCCCTCATTTATAATTAACCTAAACTTCCCAATTATACATTTTTCGATGAATACTAGCCACTTGTGTTTATGAGTAACGTTAACTGGTTCAATTCTGAGAGAGGTACAAGAGACAGTTCCAAGTCTTGTTAAAGGTGTTTGGATGGTCGTCCATATGTGACGTTTGACTGCAGATCGACCGGAATGCTGAGGGGGGTATTTTTCGTCTTCTCTGACAATGATAAACAGGTGGTGGAGACGAATAGCATAGAGTAATTTAGACGAGCAAGACGAGATAAATGGGTAGTAAGGGGACACACGAAGAGCTTTGATGAGAATGAATTTTGATTGGTAGAATGCGAGTGAAGAAGACAAGGCACGCACACACGCACAGTCATGACAACAAACAGAGATTCATCTATATACGTTCTCCTGGGTGGTGGACATGACCAGATTACAACTCGCTGCATGTGAGGGGAGTGACCAAAGGAGCGGGTGGTAGCGCGTTGACAGTTTATGACCGTCACGAGTGGTCCAAGGGACGTCTCACTGACATACATAACATCATCACCACCACCACCACCACCAACCCCTTCCCTGACCACTATCACTATACTCCCTTTCCCCTGCCCATCATCTCCCCCACACACACACCTGCCAAACCCTAGCGTCAACTTCCCACATTCTGATTGTAGTCTCCCGCAGCAGAAAGCAATGTCGCCCACCTCCTCTGTCGCATGTGTTTCCCGCACCCTACAATACGTCTCACGCATGTCATATTCCTTATTATATCTTCCGAAATGTGTCTGTCGCATGTCACGTCTCTCATCTCGACTGCCGCATGACACCTCCCGCATCAGGTCTGCCGCAATATACCTCCCGCATTTTGATAACGCAATGTATCTCCTGCATGACACCTCCCACATCCCATTTATCGAATGACCTCTACCGCATCTCATTTACCACATGGAACCACGCCCCGCACCTTGTTTGCAGCAAGGTTCCTCCCGCATCTCATCTACCGCACTTCACCTCCCGCATGTCTTATTCCCTGGCTCTCATCTCAGTGTCTTCTCTAAAAACTGTCGAAAAAACAAACATTGGCAGGTCATTCCGTCGTCAGAAAAGTCTTGAAAACACGAGAGTTCATTTTTATCATTATCCCACATAACTTGCCATTGTATTCATAGCACCGTATGATATTTAGCATATTTATCTCATGAACATTACATGTAACTTACTCAGTCACAGGTTCATAAGAAGGTGATGAAGTTAACCTCGGTCTTGGTTAATGCAGATAGAGATATATTGAACAAAACTGACAGTAAACGTCAAATAAAGTTGTATTGTAAAAACTCTGCTTCTCTGTCCACTACATCACAAATGTGTTAATCAAATGAGCTGTAAAAAAACGAATTGTCAAGAACTGGGCGAGAGAGAGAGAGAGAGACGCCATCCCTACCACTGACAGTCTTCATAAAGCTTTACGTACGCATGTTGTCACCATAAAAAGTTGATTCAGTATCATGAGGGGGTCAAGTAAACATATTTTGTTTATATAACTGTAGCAAAAACTTCGCACCGGAGTTTGAGAGATTAAGGTCATATATTTGTTGTGAGATAAAAAATACGCAGTTCTCTTCACACGGTAGTTTAGTTACAAGCGCACGTGCTGAGAGAGAGAGAGAGAGAGAGAGAGAGAGAGAGAGAGAGAGAGAGAGAGAGACACGTGTCTCAGGGCCAGGGACCTTCAGATCACCTTACCAAGGAGGATCACATGAGGGAGGGAGGGAGCCGGTTCACAATGTCAACACCTGACGTATCAAACCTGTGTGTTGTAGCTGCTTGTGGCTAGCCTCTCCTCTCTACCCCCCCCCCTCCACCTTCCTTTATCATCCGTTGTCTTAGTTCTCTGTTATGTTCTTCTTCTAGTCACCCACCTTGCGATTTCTTTTTAATTTTTCATCTCATATGTCTCATTTTTCCCTTTTCATTCGTGTTCCTTTCATTTCTTTACTATCAGCTACTATATCTTCCTTCCATATTTATCTCTCTAATATATTATCTATATGGCTTCATTCTCTATTACTCTCTGCTAAGTTTTTTTCTCTCCTATATCACTACTTATTTCTCTCCCTTTTCTCTCTATCTTCCTCTCACGTTGTCGTCTCTTCCATTTGTTTATTATTTCATTTCCTCGTATTTCTCAAACATCATCACCACCATCTTCTTCACTTATTCATATCAGCCCTATATAAACATGTTTTGTATTTTTCGGTGTTATTCTTATATGAAATGAACTGTACAGCTATGCAAATATCACCTACAGTGATTTATTTGCATTTATTATACACAGCCCAGGATAATCTCGGACAAACTCGTATGTTTAGGTTTTCAATAATAACCTAACCTCATTCATGGTAATCAATACTTAACTCCACCACTTCTGAAGGCAACTAAACCTATTTTCTTTCATTGGTTGACTGATTTTTTTTTACGTATTTGTAAACAATTATTCCGCTCATACCATCAGTTGGTTTGGGGAGGTTTTCTGTTGGCTTAGAGCAAAATTTTTTTTTTTCGTAATGTCATGATCCTGTTGCCTTTTCTTTTCTCCTAATCTTCTGATGTTTATTTATAACATTTTTACACGTTTTCTGTCTGGTCTATGTCTTTTATGCCAAGTGATTCATCTAGGCATCCTGCCACTGAACACATGATTACGTGAGTGTCATAATGTCATGACTATTTACATATGTTTCCTTGAAGAATCAAACTTAATACTAAAAAAACACAAGTAAGGAAAGCCGTCACAGGTTTCAGCAATCATTTCAAACATATTCGTCGATTCGAAAATCACAACAAATGACTTCCCCAAATGACAGGCCAGTCATCGGTGACGTAACGAAAAAGTGATGACGAAATGAAAACGATGTGACGTCACTATTGCCATATATCAACACAGTACTGGTAATCTCGTCCGCATAAGTCTCAGAGTCGCCGCCTCGTCCGTATCTCAACAGACCCCCGGCACAACATTTATTCACCATGGTAAGGCAACGCGGGTGGACATACTCAGAATTTAGTGATATTGTGAATAGATCTGTGATATAGTGTCGTCTGTTGAGTGATGATGAAACGAGAAATTCTATCGACACAGTGATCAGTACATACTAAAGTGTTACTTACCTGAGGTCTATTTTTAACAAGAATAATATGTCGTATAGTATAAACAAAGAACATCACGTTAACAATACATCATCCGTTTATAAGAGAGAGGCTTCGATTCCTCTTGTACTGTACAGATGTCGTCCTCAACTCTCTATATTTCAAAACATGAAAACTCACCATATTAAGATCTGATTTTCTTTTGTTTTCCCGAAAAATCAAAGATTTAATTCCTTTTAATTTATTAATTTTTCATATTGAACCAGAGCACTTTAAGATGATTGTAAATAAATGATAGTTATTAAAAAAATAAATAAACAGAAAAAACTATAAGACACCAATATTTCTTGTTTATTTATTTTCTCGAGTTTCGGGAGGATTGATTGAAACTCACGACCGGAAATTACCTAAGACGTGATAGGTCTCTCTCTCTCTCTCTCTCTTCCAATATTTATGTTCAATCTACTAATCTCTCTAAATTATATTGTGTAAACTATAAAAAACATTAGAAGTCATTTCATAATCCAGGATGTTGTCTTTTAGCTCAAATAGACAAACGTATCGTACATGTTTGTCAAATAAAAAAGATATCTCACTGAGTATATAAGGGCGACCTACTAAATGATTAAGAACAACAGAATATTCATTAGCTGTTGTTGGAGTAATGTCTTTAGACGGTTTAACAGCTAAGGTCTTGAAGTACAGGTCACAAACGTAAAATTTCTACACTGGCCAACAACTAGTGGGTTTTGTGTTATTAGTAAACTCATTAAAATAGATTAAAATAAAAAAAAAACGTTATAAGCCTAAATCATCTTTTTCGACGAATTTGATTTTTGTTACACTTATCGAATATGAAATTGCAAAGGATGGTTAAAGTATCTTACTCACCTCAGTCTCACGTTCATAAAATGTGCTGAAAATGGTCCCCGTTCTAAATTTTTAGAGGAACATACTGTACTATATGGTACACTTCTGTTAAGAGCAAGATTATTTATTAATTCTCAGATAAAATAAAATACTGAAAATTGTCTCTGTCCTGATTAATAAGGATATGAGTTCAAAAAATAAAAAAAAAACAATAAAAACACCCGCAATAATCTTATACCAATATATATATATATATATATATATATATATATATATATATATATATATATATATATATATATATATATATATATATATATATATATATATATATATAATGTCTCTTTATCATATGTCATAGATAGATGTTAGACCGTTGGCAAGATTTATCTCTGGCTATGTCGAGTACTGTGATGTGACAGATGGTTAATGACCTCTCTCTTTTCCCATCTAGCTACTCATCCATGTATGTATGTAATGTAGTGTGTGTGTGTGTGTGTGTGTGTGTGTGTGTGTGTGTGTGTAGGCAGCTACCAATCAGGGGGGTACTACCGCCTGAGAAGATATTGGAAGCATAATGTGTTGTCTAATGCTAGACCCTGCTGCCATATGGCATCACGAAAATTGTGACCAAGTTCCAGGTTGTTGATCTATCTTTTTACCTCATTTATACACAATTTCAGGGTCCCAATTGTCTCTCTTACTATTGACGACACAACAAATATATTCGTTCTCACTCTTGATCTGTTTTATTCATTCTATTTTATTCTCCTATGTCAGTTGATAATAATATTGAAGCGGGGCCTTCTCGGATTGGTCCCACTGTTAGGGAAGGTTGTGGACCCCAGGGCCAACCTGATCATCATCAAACTACTAGGGCCTCAACTGACGCCACCGGGGTTGCTGGAGGATCGTTTTTTTTTTCACACTTCATTTTTCCAACATTCGCGGCCTGAGATCCAAATTTCCTTCTGTGGAGCACCATCTATTAACCTCTTCCTCCGACCTCTTACTACTTCCGAACTTCAACTGACCAATGCAGCTTCACCCAAACCTTTTCAAGTCTCCAACTACAGCCTTTATACCTCTTTCCGTTCTGAGGGAGGTGTATGCGCCTACTGCAACACACGAACACCTATATCTCGACTAACGGATATTGAATCTTCCCTTTATATCATCATCTGGCGTGATACAATACTGTATAACACGGGTGCCGAATATTTTTTTAGTGGGTGGACATCACAGTGAATAGCTTGGCTCTGCAAGGGATGACCCAGGTGGAGCTGTGGAGCTGAGGCACTCTCTTTTTCCTTACTTAATGATTTGGAACAAATAATCAAACACCCTGCATGCGTTCCTGATCGACACAATCAACTTGCTAACATTCTTGATCTTTGTTTTACCTCTAACCCCTCACACTATTCATTCTCAATTTCTGCCCCCTTTGGGTCTTCTGATCCCAATCTTATTTCTATTAAATCAAGCTGGGCACGACCACCTCCTCCACCCCTTCTAAACGTCAACTATGGCACTATCGGAAGGCAAGCTGGCAATCCTTGCGATAATTCTTCACCGACTTTTCTTGGGATAAATGCTGCTTTTCCACTCGGGACGCCTCGGTATGTGCTGATTGCTGGGGTTATACAGGGTGGTATGAGTGCATTTATCCCATCTTCTACCAAAACTTTCACTATCTCCTTCTCCTATTATCCACTCCTCTTTCATTACTTCTAGAAATCTTTGTAAGGCTATTCTTTGTAGGGCCAAGCGGAATTTTATAAACAGAAAGACCGCTGTCCTGACTAATTCTTCCTGTAGTAAATCTTTCTGGTTCTTCACCAAAAACATCTGTAATAAATTCTGCACTCCTTTTCCTCCGACCTGATAACTCTATAGCCAACTCTCCCCCTAACAAAGTCAATCTCTTTGGCACCTTGTTCTCCTCTAATTCAACCTTAGACGATTCTAATTCTATCCCTCCTACCCCTGCTCCTCCTACTGAACCTATGCACTTTCCTATAATCTCCACTCGCAGAGTTGCTGGTGTGTTTATCCAGGTTGGATATGAGTAAGGCACATGGACCGGACGGAATACCCCCTCGTGTTCTGAGGGAGCTTGCTAAAGCTTGCCTCTTTCGCCTCTGCATCAAAACCCAAACTTTTCCTTCTTCTTGGAAGCATGCCTTGTTTCAGGCCATCCCGAAGAAGAGTGACCATTCTAATCCCTCTAACTATCGCTCCATTGCCCTAACTTCATCCCTCTCTAAGATTTTCGAAACTATCTTGAACTCCCATTTTCTCCGTCACCTTGAACGTCATTCTCTTTTGTCGGATCACCAGTATGGCTTTCGCCAGGCGAGATGTACTGGTGATCTGCTCTCCTACTGCACCCATCTTTGGTGATCCTCTCTTAGGGATTATGGGGAAACTTTCGTCGAGGCCCTCGACATCTCCAAAGCTTTTGACAGGGTATGGCACAAGTCTTTGCTCTCTAAACTTCCCTCTTATGGTTTCTCTCCCCCACTTTGTTTTTTAATCTCTAGTTTCCTTGAGAACCGATCCATGGCAGTTGTTGTCGAGGGATCGATCTCTCGCCCTTTCTCTACCAATAGTCGTGTCCCACAGGGTTCTGTTCTTTCACCTACTCTCTTCCTTCTTTTTATCAATGATTTATTTCACAATGCAACTAATTCTATCCATTCTTACGCTGATGATTCTACTCTTCACTCTTCTTCACATTTTCCCCTTCCTCCTAACTCTCAAACTAGATCTGTTTCTAGAGCTCATATCATTACATCTATCAATGCAGATCAGTGCAGTATCTCCGAATGGGGAGGTAAAAACTTGGTTAAATTCAATAGTAATAAAAATCAGTATTTACCAATTACACTTTCTAAATTAGATGATATCCCACCAATTACATTTCAGGACGCTATCATTCTGCCAAATTCTAAAATAGATATGCTAGGCCTCACCATTTCCTTTAATATGTCATGGAAGCCACACATCCACAACAATGCTAAAGCTGCCTCCCGAAAGTTGGGAATGCTGTACGGATGCCGTAGCTACTTCACTCCTGAGCAGTTTCTTCAAGTATATAAGGGATTCATTCGTCCTGACATGGAGTACTGCTCTCATATCTGGGGTGGCTCTTCTTCTGTCCAACTGTTATATAGGGTGGAATCAAAGGCATTTCGTCTTATTAACTCTCCTGCTTTAGTTGATAACACTGGTCAACATAAAAAAAAATTCTCATGGTTCTGGATCAAAACAGTCTGATTTTAGTGTAATTGTATGTGCTGAACTCAATTATGACATTCGTATAGCTGTATCAGGCTCAGTTTTCCAGAACCAGCATATCTATATATTTAGTGTACCATGCTATTCATACAGTAATTTATATGCTCATTGGCTCCACTTATGCAATTATTTTGTCCTGATTTGTGCTTTTTTGTTTGTTTCAGTTTGCTGATTCATGATATTGCATATCTACACCTGCATGATTTGTAATTACTCTGAAATTAACAAAACATGGAACGTCGCAAGTGTGTGAACGGTGCTGACAGTTTTTGCTACATATGTGGTGCCTTCACTCCTGGTAGCCTCAAGAAACCAATCACAAAAGCTGTTCGACTGAACTACAAAAGTTACTTCAAATGTCATTTGGGTGACCAAGACAAGAAATGGGCACCTCATGTAGCCTGTAAGTCTTGTGTTAACCACCTGAGCGAGTGGATGTGTGGTAAACGAAGTTCAGGAATGCCGTTTGCTGTACCAATGATATGGCGTGAACCTAAAGACCACAGTAGTGACTGCTACTTCTGTCTCACAAATATTAAGGGAATAAAAATCAAGACACGAGGCAAGGTACAGTACCCCAATATTGCTTCTGCAATCCGACCAGTACCGCACAGTGCTGAACTTCCAGTCCCAAATCCACCGACTGAACAAGAATTGAGTGATTCCGATTCTACCTCTACCTCAATGGAAAACGACTACCAGGATGACTCTGAAAATACCAGGCCTAAACTATTTACTCAAGAAGCGCTTCATGATCTCATCAGGGACCTAAACTTGTCAAAAGAAAAGGCTGAAGTTTTGGGATCCAGACTAAAGCAGCGTAACCTGCTAGAAGATGGAGTGCATATCACTACAGCGCGTTACCGACATAGACAGCTGTCTGCATTTTTCAAGATGGCAAACAACCTTTGTTATTGCGAGGACGCAGTATCTCTCATGCAACAACTCTGCAAGTCTGAAACATACAAGACAGAGGATTGGAGGCTGTTTATAGACTCAGGAAAAGACTCTCTGAAAGCTGTTCTTTTACACAATGGCAATCGGCTTCCATCTGTCCCAATAGCACACGCAACAAAAATGACTGAGAGCTATGAAACAATGAAAATTCTGTTGGCCGCTATAGAGTATGAGAAACACCAGTGGAAGATATGTGGCGATCTCAAAGTCATCAGTTTACTACTGGGCCTTCAGAGTGGCTACACAAAGCACATGTGCTTTTTGTGCTTGTGGAACAGCAGAGCTGATGCAGAGCACTATGTGAGAAAGGATTGGCCGACAAGACCAAGAGATGCGCCTGGAAGGTTTAACTGTGCTCACAATCCGCTTGTAGATCCAGAAAAGATATTTTTGCCTCCACTGCATCTAAAGCTCGGTTTGGCTAAAAATTTCATCAAAGCTATGGATCAATTCGGTGCTGGGACTCTATACTTATCTCAGAAACTAGGTGGTGTGGTTTCCGAAGCCAAGTTGAAAGCAGGTGTCTTGAATGGACCACAAATTCGTATACTAGTTAATGATAGCGAATTCACCAAAACATTGAACCCACTGGAGAAAAAAGCATGGGAATCATTTGTCAATGTGTCAAAGAATTTTCTTGGAAACTATCGTGCTGACAACTACAAAGAAATCGTAACAACCATGCTTCAGAATTATCATGCATTGGGAGCAAGGATGTCCTTGAAATTGCATTTTTTCCACTCTCATATTGAATTTTTCCCAGGTAACCTTGGAGACGTTAGTGATGAACACGGCGAAAGATTTCATCAAGATATCGCCATAATGGAGAGCAGATATCAGGGACAATTCAGTTCTAACATGATGGGCGACTATTGCTGGACACTGCAACGAGAAGAGAGCAAGCTGTACAAGAGAAAGAGTAAAGTTCAGAAGCACTTTTGGAACTTCATATTTTGTCATTATAAAGGATTTGAACTTATGTTTTTTGGTACAATTTTTTATGAGCTTATCTGTGATAGGTTTAAAATTGTATCTTGCATGACGCGATAATGTTACTATATTTACTATTTTTTTTATTCTTTAAGAAAGTAGGTCTGATGGTAGAATGAAACATCCAATTAATATTCATTAATATGAAATTAGTCATGAAAGCACAGTCACACGAGATAATCTCATCTTTTGCACGACACGTGATGGAATATTAAATATTTGTACCTATTGATTTTTTTATAAAACCTGGTCTGATAGAACAAAACAAATATCAGATTCGAATTCAGCAATATGAAATTAGTTGTGTGAGCATGATCTTATATGTGAACCATTTTGGCTGTTGACCAGTGTAATCTTTCTTCCCTTTCTCTTCGCCGCAATGTTGCTTCACTCTCACTCTTTTACAGGTACTTTAACGGGCAATGTTCGGTGGATCTGTCATCCTGTGTACCGCCGGCAAGGCCGTGTGCTCGCAACACATGTCTTGCCCGCGGTGCCCACCGTTTCTCTGTGGATGTCAGTCACACTATTTGAATAACCCGTTATAATACATCCTTCTTTCCACACAGCCAAACTGTGGAATGCTCTGTGGAATGCTCTGCCTGTCTCATTTAAAAAAAAATGGTTTTCCGGCATCTGCGTGGTGATGATTAATATAACCTTTTTCTTTTCTGTGTTAAATTTCTTTATAGTCTTATATTTTCGCCCCCTAGGCCCCGTTGTGGGTCGTTCGACCTGTGCCCGGGTGGGCTAATTCCCGTAAAATATATATATAAAAATAAATAAATAAATAAAAATATGTATGTACCTTTATATATTTTCTTAATATTTCTCTCTCTCTCTCTCTCTCTTACATCTACATAAATGTCTATGTCTTTCTTCCTATAACGTACCTAAATTAGCAGAGAGAGAGAGAGATTTATGAACCAGTTATGAAGACGTAAGATTTGGCAAGGTAACAAAACGAGTGATCTTCAACGAGTGGTTTATAGTATCGTGTGTAAGTCTTCAAACTGTATGGCAGGTATGGTGGTGGCTGACCTACTGAGGGGTGATATCTGTGTCCGGAGACCTGCTTGTTTTATTGTTCACAGATGGTTATTGAGTTATTTAAGGATAGGTATTTTTGTTATTGTTGCTGTAATTCATGTTGTTACCGATGGTATTGTTATTGTTGTTGAGGTTTTTATTGTTGTTGTAGTTGTTGCTGCTACTGATACATGTGCTGTCGTTGTTGTTATTTATACTATTATTATTAAATCACCATAGTCATTATTTTTTTTCAAATTTACAACCACCTGTGTAATTCATTTCACCAATAAATTACGTTTTAAGGTTATCCATTACTGTCTCCTCCCACAGGCGGACTCCATGAACGACGAGACTAAGCTGAGTAAGTAAGCGTTATGAGGAGACTAAGCTGAAAAAGTAAGCGCTATAAAGAGACTAAGTTGAGGAAGTAAGCTTTATGAGGAGACTAAGCTGAGCAAGTGTTAAGAGGAGACTTAGCTGAGTAAGTAATCATTAAGTTTTATGAAGAGACTAAGCTGAGTAAGTGTTATAAGAAGACCAAGCTAAGGTTGTAAGTGATACCTGCTGCGTGAGGAAGACCCGGGGAGCCAACACTCAATTACGTGCGTGTATGTATGTATGTATGTATGTATGTATGTGGTGTAATGGTCACCATGCTCGCCTCACAAGACCACAGGCCCGGGTTCGATCCCCGGGCAGGGTGAAACCATGGGCAAGTTTCATTACGCCATTTGCCTCTGTCTTTCCAGCAGTAATTGGGGACCTGGATGTTAATGGATTTACGGATCGTGTTCCAGGGTAATGGTTAGCCAGTGCAGTTGGCGAGCTGTTCGGTCTTTTCGGACTATTCCTTGACACTGGGTCACTCAAGTTGTTAACTTAGGGTGTGATTGTTGTGTTGGCGACAGCTTCTACACCTTAAGCAAATTCACGCCTAGGTGGCCCTTGGGCCGGACATCCTTACACGAGGGGCAACCATTAAAATAAAAATGTATGTGCGTGTACTTGTGTGCAAGCGTGTGTGTATGTAAGTCGGATTATAAATCAAAATTACATGTACTTAAGATATCGTTAAATATACAGAAAAGATCACCACGATGATATAATATTATCATAGATGCTTAAATACTGTAATTATCCACAAATCTAAGTTTTTTTTTTAATTGCACCAGAACCACTTTCTTTTTTAATCAAAAGCAAAATGTTACTTGAGGGATATTTACAGTATGTTCTGAAGGCTTCTGTTCTTTCTATAATGTATCTTCACAGGTGACAGGTTCAAAGACTCACTATATCTCTTCCCTACAGTGCTACGGAAGGCCTTCGCTATGTTTGACGAGAACAAGACGGGCTTCATACAGACAGACAAGCTACTGGGTATACTCGGTGATCTGGGACAGCAAGTGGACCCGGATGAGTTGAGGACAGCTATTAAACAGATGGATGTGGACGGTGAGGGAGAGTTTTTTTTTATTGTAGAGATAGAGAGGGTGAAAGAAGATTAGAGGTGGGGGAAGGAAGTTATAGTTCGGAAATTGAAGAAATTTAGGAGGAAGTAGGAGAGGGCGGGCTGACCGCCACGCTGTGGGTTAGCTGAGCTAATAGTGTTTGGGGTTTTGTCAGGGGTTAGTTATTGTCCGTCGGTACAAGCACTAGACAGCCTACCCTATCCCTTATATGGGTGTTTTGAGGGCTTTATTTCATATTCCGCCGACCCTACTGGCGGATGCTGGTCTTGGGAGGTTGTCTATTGCCTGGCCGTATAAATCAGGGGTGGTAATAGACCTTTTGAGATTTGGTAACTTTTTGGGAACCATGTATGGTTGTTGTTGTCTGGTGGAAATCTTTGAAGGAGGGAGGGAGGGAAGGAAGGAAGGATAAGGAGCGAGACAGTGGATTGTGGGGGGGGGGAGGAAGAATAGGTAAGGGTGATAGGTAGGGAGATTATATCAGAGGGAGAGGGTGTGAAAGGGAGGGAGGAAGAGTCCATAATGAGGAAGGTGAAAGAAGGGGAAGAAGGAGGAGTAAGAGTGGGTTAGGGAGAGATAGAAGGAAGAAAGGGTGTGTGGGAGAGAGATAGGATAGAGGAAGGATGCGTGCGGCAGAGAGTAAGAGTGAAGAAAATAAGTGATGGAGAAAGTAGGAGATTAAATTTTACACAAGAGCTTCTACCATCTATATTGACTCTCCCTCTTCCTTCCTTAACCCCGGATAATCCCCCTCACTCCCTTAACCTCTTAGCCTTTCCCCTCGTATCTTTCATAACTTTCGATTTAATTAACTATCTTCACCTGACCAAACATTCTTTAGTTACTTGTAATACGAAACTTCCTCTACAGTTTCATATACAACTATTTTTTTCTGTATTATTATTATTATTATTGTTGTTGTTATTGACTTGTCTAACATATACTTATTTTATCCCCCGAGTGGCTTTTCATAACCCAAGTGAATAAGTCCCTTTTCATTGTCATTAGTTGTATTCATGTATGAGTCACACTGAGGCAACTGCTGTGGCTGATGAATAACTGAAGAAAAAAAAAGTAAAAATAAAACATGCAAACAGAAAAAAGTGTCTTAAATGGTGCTGGACTTTCATGAGAAGTTGATTTAGTTCTTTGAGTGTAACATTTGGTCTAACTTCCTAATGGTTGAATGATTTCAGTCCCCTTGAAAACCATCCAACTCTCAGGGTGTTTCAGCAAAATGGGTCATCGTCATGTTTCTTTTATTCAACATTTCTTTATTGTTTAATATTCTAAATTTATTTCTAAGTTTTATCGGAATCAGTTCACCCATTAACAGTGTGAGTAGTGTTGGGTGTTACAATATTTCTTCTTGTAGTTTATACCACTATCTATATTTTCTTTTTATATCACATGGAGATTTGACTTCACCAGCTTATATCGTCTAATGATTGAACACACTAACACTTCTTAGGGGGTTAGGTTAGGTTACATTATATTAAGTTAGTTTAGGCTTTATTAAGTAAGCTTGGGTTGGTTTGGTTTGGTTTGGTTCGGTTTGGGTTGGGTTGGGTTGGGTTGGGTTGGGTTGGGTTGAAATAAGGTGGAGGTGTATAATCTTCACGTAATCTTTCTTAAAATATTCTTCATTGTCATTTCTTCGCGGAAAGTAACCAGTAACCACCCCACAGGGTCGGCTGTGGCGGAGGGTAAGCTCACCTTCGATCAGTTCGTCAATATCGTCGGCTGTTTCATGGAGGACGAGGACGATGAAGCCATGGCGGAGGAGTTGAAGGAGGCCTTCAGAATGTACGACAAGGAAGGTGAGAGATGGAGGGAGGGAGGGGTGAAAGAAAGAGAGGAGGAAGGAAGGAAGAAAGGAAGGATGAGGGGTGAAAGAAAGAGAGAAGGAAGGAAGGAAGGAAGGAAGAAAGGAAGGATGAGGGGTGAAAGAGAGAATGAAGAAAGAAAGAAAGAAAGGAGAGAGGGAGGGAGGGGTAACAGAGAGGTTATCACGATGCGCAACAAAGAGGGTGAGTGAGAGGGGGGAAGGAGGTAAGTGGGGAGTAGTGAAAGGGGGAAGGAGAGAGGGAGGGAAGGATGAAGGAGGTAATGAAAGAGGGAAATACAGGAAGAAAGTGAGAAGGGGAAAAGGGAGGTACGGAGGGAGTCAGGGAAAGGATGGTAAGTAGGGAGGAAGAGATAAGGATAAGAAGTGATATAGAGATAATGAGAAAACGAAAAGAGGATTAGAGAGGCCATTAGAATAGGTAGTTTGAGAGAGAGAGAGAGAGAGAGAGGGGGGGAGCTGCTCACTCAACCAGTCTCGGTACTTGACAAGCTCACCAGGTCACTGAGGCAGAAGTATGAAAGCCCTGTGATCTAACTATCAGGCAAAGCAAAACCAATTAAACAGGAATGTATTATAGAACTACTGGTGGGTGGCTAATGAAATTGAACCAATTAAACTAATAAAAACTTGAAAGGGATTGAAATTGATGGAATCAGGAGAGATATAGTCGAATAACTTTCAAGAGAAAATATACGAGTATAGTTTTGAGAGGTGACTTGTATTCTTTCATTTAATTTGGCTACCTCTTTTTGTTCCACTTTATCCATTTTTCTGTTTTTCTCAGCCTAGTGATAGAAATTCTCTCTCTCTCTCTCTCTCTCTCTCTCTCTCTCTCTCTCTCTCTCTCTCTCTCATTATTTATCTATGTGACTCTTCCAATCTTCATATTCTCGTCTACTGTAATATCTTTCTATTTTCACTTAAGCTTACATCACAAGATATAAGATTCACAGTAAAGCAGATATTGTTTCTTTAGTTTAGTAACTGAGGTCTTTAAGCATATACACAAAGTCAGTCCATACATTATACAAGGATATATTTTTTCTAAGATTATCGAGTTTCCAATTATTCATCCTTTACGTTTCACTAATAAAAATAATCATCAAGATTCTTTTTTATTTATTTCTTATTCTAATCATTTCAGTCATTAGGTTTATCATATCATCAATTTCTAGTTCGATCTACTAATTCCATATTGTTTCACTCATTTCTATTCTACTATGCATCTATCTCTAGTGAATATTTCTAACTGGCTATATTACCTACTGGATCTATAAATTCACCCATATTAATCATAATATTCCTAACATGAACATTTATTCGCATTTTTTTTTTGGGGGGGGAGGGGGTGTCCTAAATTAAAACTAACAGGTATATGATCCAGGTGTGGTGACCTTTGACTCTCCTCCCTCAGGTAACGGCTACATCACCACGCAGACGCTGAAGGAGATCCTGAAGGAGCTAGATAATAAGTTGACTAGCGAGGACCTGGACGGTATTATTGAAGAGGTTGATGAGGATGGTTCAGGCACTGTCGATTTTGATGGTGAGTGGGATGGGGCTGAGTCTGTAGTGGGTGGGAGGAAGGAGCGGTGAGTGGGAGGAAGGGTGGTGAAAGGAAGGGAGGGGTGGTGAGAGGGATGGGCGAGGGGTGAGAGGGAGGGAGAAGGTAGTTAAAGGGGGGAGGGTCTGGTGAGAGGGAGGAAGGGTTGTGAGAGAGAGGAGGAGGTGATGAGAACAAGGGATGGTTAGAAGGAGGGAAGAGAGATGAGAGGAAGAATAGAGTTGAGGGAAGAATAGGGGGAAGAATAGAGTTGAAGAGGAGAAGTAGGAAGCGTGAGAGAAGGATGGTGCAAGAAGGAGACGTAGGAATGATGAAGGAAAGAGGTGAAGGAGGGGGAGGATGAAAGAGTGATGGTGAAAGGGAAGAGACGTAGGAATGATGAAGACAGGAGGTGAACGGATTGTGGGGGGGATTAAGAATAAGTGATTGTTTCTGTGTTGTGACGTCGTGTGTTGCACCTCTCCAGTAATTACCTTACATTCTGCCGTCACCTAAGTTTCTCTAAGTCCAGTTTTAAACATTGTTTTCATCATTTTAAGCTGCGTTATTAGCCCTATACCCGCTTTCCTGATAAACTGATTGATATAATACATCACCGCTTGAGGGATTTTTTATTTTTTTTTTGTACATTTACGTATGGCAAAATCGGCACTAATGCAGCTTTAATGAATTCGTAGTTAAACTTGTCACTTATTTTATCATTTATAGCAACTATGATGATCAAAACAAGTGACACCATGTATTAAATCCTCAACATCATTTTCTTACAATGCCTAAAATTACTTTTTCTCGAGGTGATGTGTTTTGTTCTTCTTTACGTTACAGAGTTTATGGAGATGATGACGGGATAAAACAGAACTGATGAAGGGAACAAGTGATAGAGAGAACTAAAAGTAACCCTATTTTTGTAAGTCCAGCGAGTATCGTCAACCTTTTCAACTGTACAACAAACCAATATCATATTCTTCTCGTTATTTTTGGCTGGATTGAGCTAGACCAAAGCCCGCCCTGCCTGACGTGACGTATAAAACTTGTCGCACAAGTGGGATTATTTTCTCAAACACGATTTCACGCAGGCAATGGTCAAGTCTCGTGTACATTTACCTGACAAAAAATATTCAAAGAAATCAATGCATACGCTTTCTGGATCATTTGAGGAATTTCCAACCCAGGTTATTTCCCCTAAAAAATAACCACCTTAACGCAAACCTAACCACCCCAGGTTATTTTCCTTAAAAAATATCCACCTTAACGCTAACCTAACCAAACCTAACTAAACGTTAACTTAAACTAAACGCTATCCTAACCTAACGCCAACCTGGTCTAACCTAGCTAACGCTAACGTAACCCAATCTAATCTAGCCTTACCCAACGCTAACCTAACCTAACGCTAACCTAATCGAACCTAATCTAACACTAACCTAACTTAATCTGACCTAATCTAACGCTAACCTAATCTAATCTATCGTTAAATTAACCTACCGCTAACCGAATCCACCTTCATCTAACACGAACCTAACTTAATCTAATCTAACTTAATCTTACACTAACCTAACCTTTTCTAATCTAACGCTAATCTAACCTAACCTCACGCTAACCAAACCTAATCTAATCTAACTAACATAACCTCATCTTTCGGTAAAATAAGCTGGGGTGGATATTCTTCAGGTGATCCCCTTTTTTTACTTGTAAATAATCTAAATAAACCACCTGTATTTGACTTAATTACACTATACCGTATGTGTATGTATGTAGGTATGTATGTATGTATGTATGTATGTATGTATGTATGTATGTATGTATGTATGTATGTATGTATTATTAAAGTGTTATAATTACTACTCATTAGGTCCTTTGTCTTAATGACTAGTAAAGTTTATTGAGAGAAGTTCACATGAAGTTCTCAAAATAACCTTTTTTTTTCTTACTGCTGTTACAATACAAAGTTCTATTAAGTTCATCTAACATATACAAATTATACATCTATCATAGTAACTTTACGATACAAAGTCTTAAAAAGTTCTCAAAATCTGAGCCAAAAAATATAAATCGTTCTTCCGGTTGTTACATATGAGGTTCTATTAATTTCACATGACATTCACAAAATATCCATCGTTCAGAAGCAACTTTACGATATAAAGTTTTAATAAGTTCACATTATACTAACAAAGTATTTGTTACTGATGTTACTGATCCTTAGGTCAGAAATGTTCAAGTTACGTCCATGTTCATTTTTCTCTTAATTTTTTTTTACATCTTGTTTATTATTTTTGTTTACAACTTAATATTTTCTTGTGTTTACTGTCCTTAATCGCATCTTTATATTGTTTGGTTTTATATCTACTTAATTACGTTTGCTTACTCTTTTTATTTATCTTTATACGTAATTCTGTTATTTTTCTATGTTTTAGTTCATTAATATTATCATTTAATCTCTCTAGGAGTCCTGACTGATTAAATTACTCTTTCCTTAAATTAACGTCAAACATTATAATTACTCTATCTCTGTTGACTGACACAAAGGTAGAGACATAAATACCTTGCTGTTAAATGTATGTGTCGTCAAAAATTATGGTACGTGATAAAATGTCTTTCCAAGGTAATGAAATTGGCTTAATTATATTTTACTTAAGGTAATTTGATTTGATTTTGTTTACCTAACTTATAATATCCAACTTATTTACATTTTTTGTTATTTTAAACTGGTTATGTGTATGACTTGGCTGAACACCTGTCGACTGAGGCAGGTGTGTGGCAGGTGTGTGAAGTGTTCCCCGGGCTCGGTACACAATAAATGATCCTCTATTGAAGCTCTAATTATTGACCTATTGTCTTATTATTATTATTATTATTATTATTATTATTATTATTATTATTATTATTATGATTATTATTATTATTATTATTATTATTATTATTATTATTATTATTATTATTATTATTATCATCATCATCATCCCATCTATGAGTATGAGATGTTAGTTCATCTTGAGGTATATTATTGCCCGAACAACCCATTTTAGAGCGAGACAATATACACAGTGAAACTAGCGCACCGAATAGCTCCTACACAGCCTACCTGATGATCTGCTTCTGAGATTTAGATGGATGGACTTTTGTCGTATCTGGTGAGGTTAGGTTAGGTTAGGATTATACACTAGTACACCAATCTTAACTCAACCTCCTCCCTTATCACCTAAAGTCTTAAATTAACCATCCTTGATAAATGTATACCTAAATTATCCCATCTTTTATTCACATGAGATAACTAATTATTCCTTATAACTTAAGATTAATATATATTTACAATAGTTTCTCATATTATAATATAAACGAAGTACAGGTTATTATTTCTTAAACCTCTAGCGAACGCAATGCACAACAGGGATCAATGTAACGTAGTATTAAGGGACGTAGCAAAAGCATTCGACAAGGTCTGGTACCTAGGGCTCAAATACAAAATTACCACCCAAGAACTTCCCAACAACTTTACTTCCTTTCTTTGTAACTTCCTTGACAATAGAGAGGCGAAAATTATCATTGGTAACCACATAAGCCCAAGCATCAAGTTATACAGCGGAGTACCACAGGGAAGTAACCTCTCGCCCACACTCTACACAATATACACGGCGGACATGCCACCTCCTACAGACGGAGAATACGTAGCTTATGCTGATGACGTCACCCAAATCATCCGACATCCATGCAAGGGCAAACAGATGATGGCACGAAAAACAGCCCACGCCATCGAGCAAATCAACGAATATGAAAAAAAAAGTGGAAAATACAAACCAATACACAGAAACTAAAGATCATACACATTGCCAAAATAAACCCAGCACCAATCACAGTCAACAACGTACCTATACAATACTCCAACGAAGGCAAAATTCTGGGACTCACAATAACAAGAACAGGCATAACAAAACACATAACACAAAGCAAAAAGCTTGCCCAATCACAACTCACGAAACTACGAAGATCTAGCAAAATGGACACCAAAATTCAACTACATCTATTCAAAGCACTTGTCCGCCCTCACCTAGAGTATCCACCAATACCACTCAGCACGATCAGCAAAACCAGCCAACTTAAACTTCAATCAGTACAAAACAAAGCTATCCGTAGAGCATCAAAGCAACTCCCCCCATACACCACCAAAATACAAGAACTTCACGAATTATACAATATCGAACCACTGAACACACGTACACATAGCCAAGCCCAGAGAATATGGAGCAAACTTGAAGAGTTGGAGGACCCATTATTCTCCCAGTTAAAAGAAGAAGGAACTACTAAAACACACAGCTGGTGGCCCAAGAGCCTCCATGCTAACATAGAAGAACAAGACGCACTTTGCACATATATGTGAACAAATAACACTACCATCTAACAAACATAAATTAACACCCATTACACTAATGAATACCTAGCTAGCTTAGCTTACCCCCCCCCCCCTTCCACCTGCCTCCCTTGAGCGGGCGGGCGTCTGCTGCGTGCGGCCACCACCCCAACATATCAACTCTGGAGGACGAAGATGTGCATAATCCCCCCCAGTTCGGCTTCCGCCAGTACCGAGGCACATCCATCGCCATAGCTCAGGCCTACGAGCAGATCGCCAATGCCATGACTGGCCTCCTGCAGTGCAACATAGTACTGAGGGACGTCAGCAAGGCGTTTGACAAAGTTTGGCACGCGGGGCTACAGTATAAGATCATGCAACTGGGGCTACCAGAAAATCTGACCCGCCTGCTGTGTGACTTCATTACGGACCGCAGAGCCAAAATCAAGATGCAAGAACATTTTGGAGAAGAATTCTCACTATCGAGCGGCGTGCCTCAGGGCTCTTGTCTCTCACCAACCCTTTACACACTCTACATGGCTGACCTGCCACCCCCAATCGTCGGCAGCGAGTACGTCATGTATGCCGACGATGTAACACAGATCGTCACCTGCCCAGGAGGGTCCACAGCAAGGATGGCGCGACTCACTGCTCGGGCAATAGAGGAGATCTCGGAGTATGAAAATAAATGGAAAATATAAACAAACAAAACGAAATTCGAGGTCATACCCATAGCCAAATTCAAGCCGGAGCCATTGATGATCGACGACGAAGAGATTGAGTACTCTAAACAAGGCAGGTTGCTCGACCTCATCATCTCTGGACGGGCATCATTTCCCACGTGAAGGACAGACTAAATAAAGCCAAAGTCACCGCAGCCAAATTAAAACGTTTTAAACTGATGCCTGAGAAGATACAAGTTCACCTGTACAAGGCGCTGGTGAGGCCTGTGTTGGAGTACCCATCAATACCACTCGTCACACTCGGGAAGACTAGACTACAACAACTACAGAGCTTCCAAAACAAGTGTTTGAGGTCAGCCAGTGGCCAAGCGCCACCCTACCAGGAGACAGTGGAAACCATCCACCTGAGAAGTAAAACCGAGGCCCTCAACGTCAGGTTCCATCGCCTAGGGAAGAAGGTTTGGGACAAGCTCCTGGACGACCCTCACAGCCCACACCACCTACGCGGGGAAGACATCAACGGAGGGCGACCCCACGCCTGGTGGCCCCGGAGTCTGCCCGCAGAACAGCCCAACCCGCGACCCATCTATGTCCGCCACAGTGATCCACCTTAGATTAAAACTTACATGATATAAATTCACATTTAACAAGTCACAATCTAGCGTGTCCATAACGTAATACAGTATAAGATGTTAATAAACTTGTAATTGTAAAATCAATCTAGTCATTGTCTACTAAAATAACCATTGTGCTTGGATGGTTACACAGTATAAATCTACAACTTTATTTATCCTCAAGCAAAGTGGAAGAAACGTTATAACTGTATAGTGCTGGGCTTTATGGAGTGTGGTGTGATGGTGACGTGGTGCCTCGGATTCTGAGACAAAATCAATTGTCTGGTCAGCAGCATTTCAGTCAAATCACCGAATTTACTCCTAAAACTATATCTTGCGCTTGTGAGACCTCACTTGGATTTCGCAGTTCAATTCTGGTCACAGAATGGGTATTGAATCCTAGAAAGAATTCAGAGGAGAGTGACAAGATTAATCCCGGGCATTAGGAACCTTGAGTACAGAAACAGTTTAAACCATCTTAATTTGCACTCCTTCGAGAGACAGAGTGAGGGGCAATAGGATAGAGGTGTATAAAGGGAAGTCAGGGCTAAACAAACGTGACATTACAAAGGTACTCAAACTATCCAACCAGGAGCGAACTCGTAACAATGGTTTTAAATTAGACAAATTTAGATTTAGGCGCGAAATAGGTAAACACTGGTTTGGAAATAGAGTAGTGGATGAATGGAACAAGTTACCAAACATCATTATTAACTGGAATACGCGAGATAGCCTCAAACATAGGTTGGATGGATATAGGAGCAATAGGGGTTGGGTGTAAATGGGACTGCCCCGTACGGGCCAATAGGCCTGCTGAAATTTCTTCCATTATTATGTTCTTATGTTTACCAAATATTACTTCCGTGAAGGGAGAAGCATCATATGTGATCATTATGCACGCATTTACACCGTTAATATGGTATAGTATATTATTGCAGCATACAAAAAA